CATTTGGAACATCATCAGACCTCCACAACTCGGAAACCAGAGTTGTCAATGGAGCCGCATGTCGGGGTTCCCTAAACCGCCCAAGATGACAGCACCGAATCTTCGATGTGGGTAGTTCTCTACATTCAAGTCCCTTTTTAGGTTGTCAAATATGGCACGGCAACCTTCTTCAAAGGGCCCTAAAAGGCACCCTATTTTAGAGAACTACCCATGTAATAACGGGGGACGAACAGTCCGACGAACGGATGATCAAGTAACGAACACCTGAACGATGCCGCACATTGAACTGAGACCTTTGCAAACTGCTGAGAAAACCACATCCCACTACGCCGATACCGTCTGCTAGAACTATCTGTTGCAAAATCTAAGAAATGCACTATATACAATTTGTAGGGACTGGACGGTGGTAGCACGGCTAATTACTATCCCGACCCTATGTTGAAGAAGCCCACCTCCCCCTTCGACTCGATGATCCAGATGGCCAGAAGCACGTTCACAGTGAGCAGGATCTGCGAGATTGCGGAGACCTTGCCGCTTCAGGGTCCCAGCTGCAAGGGTGGACCCACCGCACAGGTATTGTAGAGTAGAGGAATTAGGGTTTAGGGTGTACGAGTTCGGGGGATATACGGGTTCGGGATGCAGGCCTTCCCCACCGGGGTGCTGCACAAGCGCTAAATCCCTTGCCAACAAAGATCTTACACATAAAGCGTGAACCACAGTTCAGGCTGTGGGGGATATGGATATAAAGTTGCCATGGCCCTTAAACCCTTCTTGGGCGCTTAGTGAGTAGCTCATGTGTAGGGCCATCTTCAGGACAACCCCCAAACAGGTTCTAGAGTTTAGGGTGTGCAGAACCGCAAGTGGAGCAGGCTCATAGTCACATGACATGATCAGCCAAGTACACCTAAAGCCATGAAGCCTAAACCACTGGGCCCCAGACTAGGCTGGTGCACGAGAAGCAGCACATCAGCTGGGAGCTCTGCTTGGTGGCCCCGAAGTACCTGTTTCGACAGGGTTTCAAGGTTCAGGGTTTAGAGAGTTCTACTTTTAGGCTGTCCCGCTGTACCCTAAACCTCACTCCTCAGTGTTTAGAGGTTGGGGATTCCACACCTTCGACTGTCGAGCCTGAGCGGGGCCTTGAGGTTTTGCGCCTTCGGGCTTCATCTTACGAGGTGCGGCGGTAGAGCTGGGGCCTTAAATACCAGTAATTAGGAGCAGGGCTTCGGGCATTGCAGAATGATGAATAGAAACATTACACGCCGAACACCATTGCAACTTATTCAGGTTCCCATAGTAGGTAATATTAAAACCCAGCCGCTTGCATGCTAAAACCAGGCCTGAGTCCTGAACCTGGTGCGTCCAAAATCCCCGGAAGTCCGAACCGCAGAGTTCGACCCCTTCCCGTCATACCCTCAAACCCTAAACCCTTAAACCCCTAATCACTTAAGCACCATACCCTTAAACCCCTATACCCTTAAATCCCTAAAGCCTTAAACCCGAGACCCGTAAACCCTGCATGCGCACCCACAGCCCGGCATGATCATGCCGATCACGAAGTTCACAAACCTGGGAAATCGTGAGCCTTACTCAGAGGCTCGAGGAACAGAGCAGGTAGATTCTAAGTAATTGAGATAACTAGGGTTCAGGGATACAGTATAAATAGAAGGGCCTTAATAATTAGAATAGGGTTTTGGTGTATACTATACTCTTATTATAATAAGGAACAGTTAAAATAGTATTGGTAAGTCAGTTATTTGGGACCCGATATTACTTCAAGTCCCGAATATACCAGCACTTACTAGGTCCCAAGATCCTTCCAGTGGGAGTTTCCGAAAATTAGAGGTACCTTGTTTTGGGGTCCTTATACTAAGGATCCTGCTATTTACTATACCCCACTTCGAACCATAGTAAAAATAGCATGTTCAATATTCTCTTGGATTTTCTGTGAACAAACATTTAAAGAATAATTCCTAAGGAGACTATAGATTAAGGTACTATATTAGGGTCCCCTATTTTCGGAAACTCCCAAGTCGAGCCCAGAACTCCGGACCCCAGCCGAAACCCCGAGGACGGGCTGATGACGTTTCTATAAACTTGGTTTACGGTCTAGGGGTTTAGGGGTTTCGGGGTTTAGGGGTTTAGGGGCTTTAGGGCTTTAGGGCTTTAGGGGTTTAGGGGTTTTAGGGGTTTAGAGGTTTAGGGGCTTAGGAGTTGAAAGTTTCAGGGGTTCAGGGTGACATCTTACCAAGTCCATCTGCGACATGACACCTGCTTCCGACCGTGACCCTTCAGCCACGAACCCTGAACCCTGTTCAAACGGAATACTGCACCGGAAGATTACAAGCCCTATATCAATCCACTAGACCCTCTAAAAGCTGCCAACCCTGCCCTGTGAATGCATCACCATCGCCATCGAGCGCCCGGCGCCCCCATCAGGTGCCGGCCCGACGCGAAGGACAGCAGCAGCGTTAGCACCTCTGGGCCACTCTGGCTGGTCACAATCATCGCACCGAAGAAAGAAAATGCTAGATTCCAACCGGGGTTTAATTAAGTCTTAAAACAGATCTCGCTCGGCTGCTGTCTGTGGCAAGCTGTCGCGCAAACACCATCACGGATGAAGAAACGTTGCCACCACAGACTAGAAGTGGGAAGTTAGGGTATTGGTAGTTCAACTTAACATAGGGGCCTTAATACTTTCAGTAGAGTTTCGGGGCCCATTTTACCATAATTGTGTTTATGAAGAACCTCCAAAATAGCATCAATAATTATTTAGGCCCCTAAATTACTCTCCAAGGCCTTCCGCCTTTCGAGGCCCTTCGAACTTCGCGCCTGCATGCCCGCCATGATCCCAGACGCAAGGATCACGCTGCGCACGTGCTGCGTGGTGTCCTGCGAAAGGGAAGCATGGTGTGCACACCAACAGCACATGTAGATTTGTATATGTGTGTCTATATATATATATATATATATGTGCGGTGTATGTCTGTATGTATATATGTGTCGCGCTACAACTTCAAACATGTGACATGGCGACGAGAGGCTGGCTGTGCCTTCAAGCACTAAACTTTTGGTCGAGCTGTGACCAGACCCCTCTTCCGGTCAAGCATGGGGGCGTACGAATCAGAACAGGGCTTTGGGGTGTACTATATCATGTAGTTCTATTAAGGAACACGAAGGAAGGGTCAGCAGCTTGCACAACACTGGCGATCCAAGGCGAAGGGGACCAGCAAAGCTCTGTAAGCCTCTAACCCCACAGGCTTTCGAGTGGGACGAAGCCTCGTCGACGAACTCATGGCCGAGGAAGACGTTCCTCCTGGCACCCGCAGGTATTGAAAGCCGCAACAACACGATAAAAGAACCATCACGGTTCGGGGTTTATTGTTCAGCATGTATGATCGCGGGTTCGTTTGTAAACTTAAAGCCGTATAAACCCTAAACCCTATAAACCCCATGACCCTGCAAACCACTGCCTGGATTCACTGTCACCCTGGGCGATCTGCAGCGGCTGGCGATTCTCAGCCATGGCTCTAGCACCCCAGGCTTCCGTTTGTTGGTGGGGGAGCTTAGTCTCTCGCGGGCTTCTTTGGGTTTATGGTATGAGGTTTAGGGTCCAAGGCTTCGGGCCTGTACAGTAGGGTTTATACATGGGTTTGGGACTCTTCGGTGTTACTTACATTTTCTTGAGAGCTTTAGGCTTTAGGGTTTGGGGCTCTCGCTGGGGCTTGGGTGTTTCGCAACTCATGGTCAAGGCTCCATGGCTTGAGGAGAACGAGAATGAGGGCACAAGACGCCAGTGTTTGCTGCTTTGCACTGCGAAATCCTCATACTGCGCCTAGTTTAGTGCAGGGTGCCGAAGATGGGCACAGAATGTAATCCCCGCGTCACAGTCTCTGCATCCCTCCTGACCTCCTGTTGTGTAAAACGGAGAGATGGCTTTGTTTCACATCTTGGCGAGTCCGCCATACCAACACAACGGAAGATACCATGAACTTCAAGCCTCAAGCCTGAAACACTGGTTATATCTGCAATGGATCTTGGAAGAGATCTCACCGAGGGACCGCAGTTCCTAATTGCAAAGCCAGCGGGCTTTTGGCAACCTTCGAGAGTCACCTGTCTTTCCTTCGGAGTTGCGGGAAACTAAGCCTTCTCCGACATGTACAGCTTCCTGCTTGACAATGACCATAACTGTAAAGCTTCACCTTTCTGGGACGGACAGCAGAAAGTTGCCGAGGGGTTGCCGGGTCGATGGGATCCCCAGCTCTTCTTGTAAAATAGGGGCCTTAAGAAGTAGGATAGGGTTTTGGGGCCCGATATACTATGGTTATATTTAGGAACCCCCCAATATAGTGTTGGTACTTATTTAGGCCCCTGTATTTCTCTGCTGTCTGCCTGACGATTCAGCCCACTTTCGGTATAGCACTGGAGCTATTATGAACAGCTTCGAAGCCGCATGTGTGCAAAGACATGTCGTCTGCAGGGAGCGACTCACTCGCCTTCGCCGGTGCACCCTGAAGAGAGGACATTGTCTGCACAGTTCTCAGGGAGCGTGTTGGCTGTGCTGGCATGTAGCGACGAGCTTGACGCGATAAACCCAGCAGCAATGACGACAACATCAGGAAAGATCTTCACACATCCTTGGCTTCTAGAGAGTTGCGGACCTGGTGGTGGACGGCTTGGTCTGCTTTCGTGTCCCAAAATGTGATCGCAATGCTGCGAAGCCACACGAGGGCAGAATAAGAAAAACAAGCCGCAAGGCTTCATTCAGGACCCTGTCGCTGTCTGAGCCGCTGTCTACATCACTTCTGCAGTCTGCATCGGGCAGGTAGTGCCGTTGGCCAAACAGCAGTGCTGTGAAGGTTACCACCGCATGGACAAGCTGCTGAAAGGTGAAATTGCCGCTGGCTCCCCATCAACCGTGACCTCCTCAGACTCAAGACCCGTCAGAACCACCAAGCAGTCAGCTAGGCCAGGCTATTCTGGGTTTCAAAAACATCGTCCTCTTACTCAATCTCGACCTCCCCAAGTGCTTTCAACAGTGCCCTGTGCTGGCTGTCTGCATCACCGTTCCCGTCTGCACTCATGGGACTGCTAGCGGAATAGCTGCCAGTCGTAGACTGCGCTGCGGAAGCTGCTGCTGAAGGGCTGGGCAACGCAAACGTCGCTGTGCTCACATCGTCGTCTTCATCAACCTCGACCTCCCCAAGAGCTTTCAACAGTGCCCTGTGCTGGCTGTCTGCATCACCGTTCCAGTCTGCACTCATGGGACTGCTAGCGGAATAGCTGCCAGTCGTAGACTGCGCTGCGGAAGCTGCTGCTGAAGGGCTGGGCAACGCAAATGTCGCCGTGCTCACATCGTCGTCTTCATCAACCTCGACCTCCCCAAGAGCTTTCAACAGTGCCCTGTGCTGGCTGTCTGCATCACCGTTCCAGTCTGCACTCATGGGACTGCTAGCGGAATAGCTGCCAGTCGTACACTGCGCCGCGGAAGCTGCTGCTGAAGGGCTGGGCAACGCAAATGTCGCCGTGCTCACATCGTCGTCTTCATCAACCTCGACCTCCCCAAGAGCTTTCAACAGTGCCCTGTGCTGGCTGTCTGCATCACCGTTCCAGTCTGCACTCATGGGACTGCTAGCGGAATAGCTGCCAGTCGTAGACTGCGCTGCGGAAGCTGCTGCTGAAGGGCTGGGCAACACAAATGTCGCCGTGCTCACATCGTCGTCTTCATCAACCTCGACCTCCCCAAGAGCTTTCAATAGTGCCCTGTGCTGGCTGTCTGCATCACCGTTCCAGTCTGCACTCATGGGACTGCTAGCAGAATAGCTGACAGTCGTAGACTGCACCGTGGAAGCTGCTGCTGAAGGGCTGGGCAGCGCAAATGTCGCTGTGCTCACATCGTCGTCTTCATCAACCTCGACCTCCCCAAGAGCTTTCAACAGTGCCCTGTGCTGGCTGTCCGCATCACCGTTCCAGTCTGCACTCATGGGACTGCTAGCAGAATAGCTGCCAGTCGTAGACTGCACCGTGGAAGCTGCTGCTGAAGGGCTGGGCAACGCAAATGTCGCTGCGCTCACATCGTCGTCTTCATCAACCTCGACCTCCCCAAGAGCTTTCAACAGTGCCCTGTGCTGGCTGTCTGCATCACCGTTCCAGTCTGCACTCATGGGACTGCTAGCAGAATACCTGCCAGTCGTAGACTGCACCGTGGAAGCTGCTGCTGAAGGGCTGGGCAACGCAAACGTCGCTACGCTCACATCGTCGTCTTCATCAACCTCGACCTCCCCAAGAGCTTTCAGCAGTGCCCTGTGCTGGCTGTCTGCATCACCGTTCCAGTCTGCACTCATGGGACTGCTGGCAGAATAGCTGCCAGTCGTACACTGCACCGTGGAAGCTGCTGCTGAAGAGCTGGGCAACGCAAACGTCGCTGTGCTCACATCGTCGTCTTCATCAACCTCGACCTCCCCAAGAGCTTTCAACAGTGCCCTATACTGGCTGTCTGCATCACCGTTCCAATCTGCACTCATGGGACTGCTAGCAGAATAGCTGCCAGTCGTAGACTGCACCGTGGAAGCTGCTGCTGAAGGGCTGGGCAACGCAAATGTCGCTGTGCTCACATCGTCGTCTTCATCAACCTCGACCTCCCCAAGAGCTTTCAACAGTGCCCTGTGCTGGCTGTCTGCATCACCGTTCCAGTCTGCACTCATGGGACTGCTAGCAGAATACCTGCCAGTCGTAGACTGCACCGTGGAAGCTGCTGCTGAAGGGCTGGGCAACGCAAATGTCGCTGTGCTCACATCGTCGTCTTCATCAACCTCGACCTCCCCAAGAGCTTTCAACAGTGCCCTGTGCTCGCTGTCTGCATCACCGTTCCAGTCTGCACTCCTGGGACTGCTAGCAGAATACCTGCCAGTCGTAGACCGCACCGTGGAAGCTGCTGCTGAAGGGCTGGCCAACGCAAATGTCGCTGTGCTCACATCGTCGTCTTCATCAACCTCGACCTCCCCAAGAGCTTTCAACAGTGCCCTGTGCTGGCTGTCTGCATCACCGTTCCAGTCTGCACTCATGGGACTGCTAGCAGAATAGCTGCCAGTCGTAGACTGCACCGTAGAAGCTGCTGAAGGGCTGGCCAACGCAAATGTCGCTGTGGTCACATCGTCGTCTTCATCAACCTCGACCTCCCCAAGAGCTTTCAACAGTGCCCTGTGTTGGCTGTCTGCATCACCGTTCCGGTCTGCACCATAAGCCACTCTTTCAGAACGCACAAAATTCAGGTCCGTACTACACGTCACTCTTACAGAGCTCCCAAAATCAGTCTGCCCTCCAACGTCCACAGCAGTTGCTTTGTGCGCACCTGGCAGATCGGAGCCTCCGAAGAGGAAGTCCAATGGGCCCTGCTGCCTCCACCGGAGGTCCTTCGGGAAGGTGTGCCCTTGCAGGAAGCCCAATGCCTTGCCAGGGGTGTAGCATAATTACCTGGACCCCAAAAGTATGTAGAATAATAGCATTTTATGGGTATTGGGCCATTATTTTGCCTACTTTTGGGAGGTTTAAGCCAGCAAGCAACGAGGCACAAATAGGTATCGGTATGCTAGAACTGTAGTAGCGGTAGCAAGCATCAAATCGCAACTCTACCCCTACGGGTACAGCGGTAAGCCAAACATCTACAGTTGATTACCATAATACGGATGAGAATAATTATCTTGCACCCGATTCCCGGGACAGCTTAAACCTGGACCCCAAAAGTATGCAGAAGAGCAGCCTTGTGTGAGTTTGGGGGCCATTCCTTGGTTTCCTTTTCTTGCGGGGTTGGGTAGTTTCCTCGCTTTCCAGGAATTGAACCTTTGGACTTTGAAGCGAGACATGTGTTTAGCGTTTAGGGTTTAGGGCTTGGACTTTGATTCTGATCAGGAGGCAGCCCATTTGCACGATCATAACTTGCAAGCAACAACACTATAACAATCACAATGTTAATAGGAATTCGAAGCAGACTGTCACCGAGAGGGTTACAGATATGAGGAATAAACATTGTATCAACAACTGACATAGTCTAGAAATAGAACTCGTTCCCAACCTCCCTGCCCTAAACCCTGCCAACCTCGTGGCTGCCGGGGATCAGAGCGGGCGGCGGGGCTTTCGCAGCCTGATGGGGTTTGGGGCGTCAAGGTTTAAAGGTTCGGGCGCTTTCTGGCTGTGTTGTTCTAGGGCTTTAGGTCTTGGAGGACCGGTCTTTCAGCCTACATGGTGCGCATCGCTCGAACTATCCGTAAGTCAGAGCCAATGGCAAGAGCCTCAAGTCTTGAGTACCAGCAGGCGGGACTTAAGCTTCGACACCATCACCACCTCTGATTTAAAAGAAAAGACAAGCAGGGAGCATCTCGTGAAAGCACCGGCACACCGTGGTGAGGCTCAGCAGCAGCAGCAGCACCACCACCACCACTACCTGCAGCAGCAGCAGCAGCAGCAGCAGGAATGGCAGTAACAGTCGCAGCAGTTTAGCAGGAGCAGTTGTTAAAAACATTCGTTATCGTCGATGCGAAGTAAAGTCACAATCGGCCAGGAATGCCGAGGCTGGAAGAGTTAGTCGGCAGCAGAAACGATGAAGTCGCAACCACACTCCAGCGCAGCGCAGCGCACAGAACCCTAAGGTACCTGGAAGGGCCCTGAAAGCGATTACATAAAGCAGCAGAAAGCAAGCCTGCTCCAACCTAATGCTCAAACATACCACAAACATCTACCAACCCTCTATCACTGTCTACAGACTGGTCTGCTCCCTTTGCAGACCCCTTGCTGCACACTGAAAACCATGTATATCCAGCCGCGCGAATCCTAAACTCTGGACTCGATCTAGATGCTTTGAACCCACCGAATCCTCAAGACCATCGAGTGAACCGCTGGCAAACTACAACCGCTGAAAACTCCCGAAAAAGCTGAGCGGAGGCACAGAATCCCAGCTTGATTCGGCCTTCCCGAACCGGCGGCAGCCCTGCCAGAGTACCGCACGAACGCGCTTAGCGTCCAGAAGCATGGCACCACCCCTTCGGGGTTTGGAAGACTAAAGCGTAGGCTTTTACAGCTCTAGGGTGTTAAGAGCTAACTAATCAAATGTTATAGGCTGTTGCAGCTCTAGGGCTTTCAAGGTTTTCTAGTCAGATGTTATAGAACTTAGAAGTATCGAGTGGGGCTTGGGGTTCGGAGCCGCGGAGGGCTTTTCCGAGCCAGTGGAGGCTCCGACGGTTTCATATCGGTGTTAGCTTCGCTGGCCTGAAAGTAGGGGAATCTCCGAGTTCAAGCGATTCCAAAGGGATGCTACAAGCTTCGCTGGCTTGAAAGTACAGGGATCTCCGAGTTCAAGGGATTCCGTTTAGGATCTCACTAGTGGCTGGAGGATGGGGGCAGGTCAGGCTGTGCAAAGAAGGCGGCACTTTGGGGTTTCCAGTGGTGAGGTCGTGGACACGGAGCCTATGTGAGGATAGTCAAATGGGAGTTTCCGAAAATTAGGGTACCTTATTATGGGGACCTTATAATAAGGATCCTACTGTTTATAGGGTACTATATTAGGGTCCCCTATTGTCGGAAACTCCCAAATCGCATAAATCGTTGCACAACGGTCTGGAGTTGAGCCTGAAGCAGCCGGGTGTTTAGCAACAGTCGAACTTCTGGAGGGCTCCGCCACCCGTTCCAAGTCCGGAACTGTTGGCAGTCAGCTTGTTTCGAGGCATGCTAGAGCGGAACTACTTTCAGGATGAACTTCCCGTCCGACTGCAGAAACTCTATCAATGGCTCCAGAGTCCAGGATACGGTTGATGGTGGTATGGGAAGGTTTACACGCAAACCTTTGCTGAAGCTTGCGGCAAATTGCCAGACCTAAGTAAGGACCACAACACGTAGTACCATACTTGCTGAAGCTTCTATGGTAAATCTCCTGGGCATTCCGAGTGGAGATGGGGCGCGAGGCCCATAGAATCCCAAAACAAAGTTCGCATGGCGTGACATCTCGCTTTCTAGACTCTAGGCCCACTACAACTCAAACACGGTTTGCTTCACGAGTTATTTTCCTCCAGCACGCGGCAGGAGCAAATCGCTCGCGTTTGTATCCCAACCCGTGAAGCGTCGCGACACGCTTTTGAAAGCGCTCGCACGCCAGTCGAGGTCTCGCGAAGGTGTGCTGCCTTCCAACGTCGATCCTGCACGCAACGCGCATGCGAGCCTCACATAAACAAATGATAAACATTAAATTAAATAGATCATGCAATATGTCTATGTAGTACGTGTGTATATATACATACATACATACATAACCATACATAGATAACTCGTAGATATGACCTCCAATCAAAACTCGGCGAACTGTGCTCAATCCCAGGAACAAACTGAACTCTTCGGCCCTAAGCCTGAGCTCTTCCAGAGTCTGTCTCCCTGTCTCCACTCTCTCTCTCTCTCTCTCTCTCTCTCTCTCTCTCTCTCTCTCTCTCTCTAAATAAATAAATAAATAAATCAAAACATACATATATATATATATATATACATCTCCATCTACATTTACATCTATGTCCATATCTATCTATATCAGCCTATGTCTATGTATCAAACCTAGAAGCTTGAATCCCCCAACCCCCAGCGTCACCTCAGGATCCCCTGTCGTAAGCCCTCTGAGGCTTCACCGCCGTGCAACAGGAACGGCACGTCCACAGTTGCCTCGGGAGTCAATGGGATCAGCGGTTCTGCAAATAGTTCTTGGGCGAATGCATACGAGAAGGTGCTGTGTTGCGGACAGCTGCGCAGCCTGGGCTCCGCTTTTCTCTCGCAATCCTGGCCTCGAACCGCTCGAACCGTCACGCTCATCGAGATTTGAGGTCTTGCAAGAGATATGTAGCCTTCGCAGCTCCAAGACTTGCTGCATAGTTCGGAAGCAACTCGAGAAGGGGCCCTTTCACGACTCTTTGCAGATGCTGAATTGATGTCGAGGATATACTCAATAAAACAGCTTGACAGCCAAACAACGAGGCTGACCTTCATACCGAGTGCCGAAGCTGCATCCTGCCGTCTTCTGCGCAGGAAGACAAACTTGCGAGCCCAGCTACAGCGCGAGATTGAAAAAGTGAAGCGGTGCAGGCACTGCGCATCCAAGCTAGGTCCGACATGCCTTCGTTCCAACGACACTTCTGAGAGTTGTTGTGGAAATACCGGTCACATCATGGAGACTTGCCATGGATGTCGCCTCTAAACCGTAAACCGGTACTAATGCCCACTGTATGATGAAAGCTTAGAGGGCGTGCGCTGCACTCCGACATGCGAAGGCAACGACGTGCTCAAGCAGCTGTGTTTTGCACTGGCCAGGCTGGCCAGGTGGCCGTGCACCGAGCTGCTTGAAGGAGTTGCGGAACTCTGCGAATTCGAGGGCTCTCAGCGCAGCTTCGGTACGTCGAGCCATGCTGGTGCGATAAAAACAATGGTCTCAGTCCATGTGCTCCCCGGCCGCCGTGTGCGGAATCTAGGCTCGTGCATCCATCGGATCTGCCGCCTCCTTGCCTGTTCCGCCGCCACCACGACGCCCCGGCTGTGTTTTCTTCTTGTGTCCCTTGCTGAGGATGCAGGACGGGCTGGAGAAGACGGCTACGGGCAAGTCCGGCTTGAAGACGATCTTCAGCACCTTGCACTCCACGGGAAGAGTCTCTGCAGTGGTAAGCGCAACCGGCTCTCCCGAATCATTCATCACGAAGTCGCCTGCCTTGAGCTTCCCCGCCGGCACGTAAAGAGGACGTCCCGCATTGCCACCTTCATTGGGGACCTGCACGGGATGGTCCGGGGTCACCCGCAGTGTTGCAGCGCCCGCCTGCAAGTCGACCACTTCCGTAGCTTGCCCTTCCTTCGAGAACTCGACCACCTCCAAAACAGTCTTGCCATCGCCAGCCAGGACTTGCGACCCCTTCTGGAGGTCACTGCCCTCGCGGAAGACGTCCATGCGGCTCTTGAAGATGGCATCCAGCATGAAGCAGTTCTGCTTCACCGAGCAACCGGAGGATCCACTCAGGACGGAGGCGCCATCTTCGTCCACAAGGTTGTACCCCAGCTGCTGGGCAAGATCCGACTCCTGATCACCGAAGGCTGCGTCGTTGCGAGCTGGGATGCGAGCATTCAGAGCGGGATGACCCGAGATGCCGCCACCAGCCACGCGAGGACTCTTCGTCTTGGTCTCCACAAGCTGGCGTTCCAGCCCACGCAGGCGCTCCTTATACATGCCGATTTCTTCCCGCAGATCCTGCAGGAGATCCAACTTCGCCTCTGCTTTGGCAAGCTGATGCTGGAGCTGCTCACAGCGCCCCTGGAGCACAGCCTTCTGCAGCTGCAGCTCGGCCTTGCTCTCGCCCTCTTCTGACGAAGCGGGATGGGAATCTGTCTTCGGGCAGTGCTCGTAGTAGCTGCGGCTCTCCTCTTGCAGTCGCTGAACCTCCAACTGTTTCTCGGCGGCATCGGACTCGGCCTGTGCCAAAAGCTCCTTGGTCTTGGCATGCTCGGAAGCTTCTGCATCCATGCGATTTGCAAGCTCTTCGCAGCCCTCCTGGCACTTGCTGTGCTCCGCCTGCAACTGTCGGAGCTCCTTCTGCATCACTGCCTTCGCTGACTCTGCAGCCGCGCACCGCTCCTGGCACTTGGCACTCTCGTTCTGCGCGGCTTGGAGCTCCGCATCCTTGCTGGACACCTGCGCTTCCGCCGCAGCCAGGCGATTGCGAAGATCTCGACACTCCTCCTCCTGCGACTTCTGAAGCTCCGCTTCGAGGCGCCGGCGCTCGAGCCAGGCCTCGGCCTCCGCCGGCTGCGCGGCCCAAAGCTCCACCAGCCGCAGGCTCAGCGCTTCGCGAGCTCGGTCCTCAAGATAACCTGCACCAAAAAAACGAGCCAAGTCGAGGAAGGCGTCCATGACGGTCGCCAGGGGCCAGCTGGCAGGGACTTCGGTGAGGTGTACGAGAAGTTTTGCTTCGTTTTGCTGGGGCATGGCGGCCTCGCGAGCTGGGCAGGGGGGGCGGGGCCTCGAGGTCGTCTCTGTCGGCTTCGCCTCTTTGGGCCGCTACTTGGACCACTGCTTGAAAGCTGCTTGGGAGGGAGGCAGGCGGCAGGCTCATCTCCATGGAACATACGATTCGATATGATTCGATGCCGCCGGATGCAGGAATTGAGAAGGCATAATCAGAACAAGTTGCTACTCATGCGTGTGCCGTCGTTGATGTTGGCGTACAAAGCAGATATAAGCCCAGGTATGCATGCACATGTGCATGTACATAATAGGGCTGCCTTGTGCAATGTACATTCTGCACCTTTTGCTGCATGATATCTGTAGACATGCAAGCACAACATATGCTCGCATGATTGCACGGATGCATGTCATGTCATGCCAACCTGTGTATGCAAGCAGAAGCAGTGAAGACTCGGAATTATGCAAGACTCGGACTTCGCCTGCAATTTGCCAGCATTCTGGGATGCTGACATTTCTGACCGAAGACTCCAACCTGCTTCGTCTTCCTCAGCGACATGAAGCTCCAGGGTTCGAGGACGGATGCAAGGTAAAGTACTTTACCCACACCTAAACCCCCAAAGTAGGGAAAAAGAATGGCCCAATACCCATAAACGGCTATTATTCTACATACTTTTGGGGTCCCGGCAAGATGGGTACAGCAGTCGCAGTCTTCGCGGTTTTGACGGGATCCACTGCGCAGCACGGCTCACACATCATCTCTCGAAGCCGTAAGATGAACGGGAAGACAAGAGCATGACGGATCATGCTAGCAAAGCCAGCATACCCCGAGCCGAGGACACACGAGTAGCAGAAATGCAGGGCTTAATAATTAGAATAGGGTTTTGGGGCTCCTTGTTATAATTATGGTATATAATATATACCCAAAATGAAAGCCCCTATAGCAGCATCAACCCACAAGCAAAGCCTCCATTCTTGGCAAATCTGCCTCCGCCCCGTGGAGCGGACGACGTGGCCAGCAGCCTGCGAAACTCGCGCCGACAAAGTCCAGACATTATAACTTATAACAACTACTATAGGGGCCTTAACTTCACTTATTAACCCTTATAGAACCCTTTAAGGGAACCCTTGAAGGAACCCTATTCCACTTTGTATGCCAATGATGGTCGGAATCTGGCCAGGTTTTGGTGTCGCAAGAAGGATCGAGCATCTTTTGCCACCTACAGTAGGGTCCCGGATCGAGTCTGTCGCTTCTTCCGAAACTGCAGCAGTTCCAGGAGGCTGGGCAGTCAGATCAGGCCTTGGTCATGACCTTTCCTGGGAGTTTCCGAAAATAGGGGACCCGACAATGGTACCCTAAATAGTCGGATCCTTAGCATAAGGACCCCCTAATAACCCTTAATTTTCGGAAACTCCCACATCAAGCTCAGGAGCTTACAAGAGTCGAAGTGACGAAGTGCGCACGGCAACGAACATTTCAGGGGATGATGACCGACATCCGTCGTCGTGGCTTACTTCTACGATAAGTAATCTCGTGAAGTACGGTAGATTTGTTGAAAGAGCTAATCTGGTACCAGTATGCAGCCGATACAGGCAATTACATAGGGTGCCGCACACGGGTAGCCCAAGCTGACGTCAAGAATTTAATTAAACCCCGGGCGGAGAAAAAGAATACTCGAAACTGCAGGACGAACGGCAGAGTCTTGAACCCAAAGCTCCCAACTCCTTGGATGGCCTGACAGCGCCTCAACACCCATACACACACACAGGGCATGCTGACATGTTGCGTGAGTCTTTCAACATCTGCCAACCTTGAGTTGGAATTTCAGATCCCTGAGTCCGCATGACAACGCCGAAAGCCCTGAACCCACACAAACTTCAAGTGTATGCACAGGTTCGAACCGATAACTTAAACCTGGAGCCCTTTAGCCTGAAGCCCCCAACCTGCTCAGCACGGCGCCAAACACATCCGTGCACCGCCGCCAGAGCATGGCCGAGCAGTGCCAGGCAACAAAACGCGCAATTGTTGTTGAGGGCTTTAGGGCTTTAGGGTTTAGGGTTTAAGGGTTTACGGGTTTAGGGTTTTTGGGCTTTTGGATGTCTTCGAGAAACTCTGTAGGAGTGGCAGGTAACAGCCGATCTAGAAGAGACCTCGGAAGGCGCTGGAGACAGATAAGTAGTTGAGGACCTATAAGGGTCTACATAGGCACATGGAGTCTTAAACCCTATAAACCCTATAGAGGCCTTACATAGCAACGCTCAAAGAGGCTTCTGTAGGGACCTGTACCCTCGATGTGTGGCTTAAGAGACGTGCGCGAGTAAAAGTGGCTCGAAGAGTCCGAAGGTACATGACGTAGGGCATTCATGACAAGAACACGAGATGTGGGGATATGTTAAACAACCCTGATCAAGGTGCTAGAAAGGATTTAGAAAAGGATACTGCCACCAGTTCTTCAGACCTCTATCTTGATTTCGTGTTTGCCAAGGTGGAAACGAAACTCAGGTTGGACAGCAGCTTGTTAGGTTTGGAATGGGTGGCTCTCCATTGCCTTCCCTACTTGTCGGGTAACATGGGGAGCTAAAGGTTAACCTTTTTGGTTATATAGGGATTATATAGGAACTCTACTACCCAAAACAAGGTTAAAGGTTACCTCCTCTACTACTAGGCTTCAAGAGCGCATCCGTCGAAGATCTCTTTGGAACTTTGGGTTTCGCGGGTGGGAATCGAGACGACGTGGGAGCCACCAGCAGGTCGTTTCAGGATCTGCAGGTCCGAGTGGGTGGTTGTCAAAATCAGGGTCCCTTTCTGGATACCCTAAATAATAGGTGCCGTATTAGAATAGGGACCCAAAAAGGGACTGATTCTTGACAACCACCCGAGTATGACATGCTAAGTAGACGATGAGTGGCGCTACGGTACAGTACATTTAGCCAAGAGGTGTGTCAGTTGAAAACACTCTCAGCCTTAACCCCACCTGAGAAGTGTGAACCTCGGCCTTGTCTAAGACGACTCCGGGTTCAGTCTCGCACAAACGGCGCCTTTCTAATTTGAATAGGGTTTGACAGTAGCTTATACTATAATTATAATACGGAGCCCCCAAAATAGTATGGGTAATTATTTAGGCCCCTATATCACTCAACCGTGAACCAAAACTCTCTTGCCGAATCCTGTTTGGGTGGAGCATGTCGCTTGGCACCGAGATTCCGGACACTCTGCGTGAGGTTTGGTAAGTGTAGCAACTCCCGACAGACACCTAGAAAACCCAAACCCCAAGTTTTGCAAAACGATGGCAGGCCAGTCGGTGTCACGGTCGATCCTAGGGTCACTCGCCCAGACAACCATCCTACACATCCAAAACAGGGAGCTCGGAAAGACCAGCGGAAGCAAAACAAAACATAAAAAAGAAATAAAATATCCCATAAAGACACTCTAACCCCGATCTCCTGCAGCGAGGAAAAAACCTTGTGTTCAAAGCATTCTTGAACCTCATGGCCCCTCACCTGAAGGATGCTAGTCTTTTTGAAGCTTCACCGACTGCCAGAAGCTGTCGCTGCGCACCAGGAACGGCACGTCCGAAGTTGCCTCGGGAAACTGAGGGATGCAAGTCGACGACCGATTCTGCAACAACGCGTAGACGAGTTCAGAAGCAAAAACTCGCGCATGAAATGCGAGAGTTCGACAGAGAAGATGCACTGCCGGTTCCCTTTCTGCTTGCATAATCCTGGTCTCCAGCCGTGAATCTCAACCAGACCGGTGGTCTTGCCAGAAAGAATGCTTTCGCAGCACTGGCGGCTGCAGTGACGACCGCAGTCAGCATTGTCTTGGATGAGCCCCTACTTCCGACAATGCCGCTCTTTCCACGACACTCAACTACCCTAGACCCCAAACATCGCTCCCGAAAGTCGGAGCTGCAAGCTGCCGTCTTCTGCTGTGCTGAAGGAACACAAAATTGCGAGCCATATTCTGCACGGCTCGATTGAAAATGCGAAGCGGTGCAGGCACTGCGTATCCAAGCTGACATCCGGGCGTCTTGGAGTTTTTCCGACGGAGTTTCCAACAGGTGGTGAAAGAGTGCTGCTCGCATGATGGAGATTTGCTCTGTGCGTTGCTGATCTACCTGCCCATCGTAATATGTAACCTTAGATCGCGAGCGCTGCGCTCCGACTTGCTCGGGCAACGACGTTCTCAAGCAGCTGTGTAGGCGCTGTCCAGGGAGCCGTACACTCAGCTGCTTGCGAGGCGTTGCAGAACTCTGCGAAAAATCCGTGGCTCATGCGCGCAGCCTCAGAACGCCGACCCGTGCTGGTACAGATGTTTTTCGCATTTGCCGGCCGCCGCGTCGGGAATCGAGGCTCCACCATCTATCGGATCGGCCGAGTCGTTGCCTCTCAAGACGGCCGCAGGCAGGTCGGGCTTGAAGACGATCTCCTTTCATTCCATTGCAAATAAGCCGACAGAATTACACCAGAGGATATGATAACCTCTATGGAATGACCTGAGATTTAGAAAATGATATCCGAGATTTATCCTGCAAATTAGGTCTGTCTGGTGGGTGTGTGATGTCGCGCAGTGTTCGTTCTTATTTCGCTCACGCTTTCACCAAGCTAGTCTTCATTACACTGTAGCGAAATGAAACACGAACCGCACAACAGGACACACCTCTGTCTCTAGGAGTTGATCACAAAATGCTTAGGCTAACCGCTGCTACCGTCATAATCCAAGTCTGTGATTCGTTCAATCTTTTCGCTACCCCTCCCTGTGACACTGTGGCATAATGTAGTGAACGTAGTGAGTGGAAGCACGAACGAACCCAAGAAAAGAGTAAACGAAACCAGAAGAACGAGAATTTTCAAAGGGACCAAATTAAAATAGCCAAAGCAAACCAATCGAAAACATCGGCACCTCGCACTCCATGGACTGCGCCATTGCACAGGTGAGCGCCCTTTGCTCCCCCAAGTCGAGCATCACGAAGTCGCCCGGTTCGCAACTTTCATCCGGAATCTGCACGGGATGGTCCGGAGTCACCCGCAGTGTTGCAGCACCCGCCTGCGAGTCGACCACTTCCGTAGCTTGCCTTTCCTTCGAGATCTCGACCACTTCCAGGACAGTCTTGCCATCACCCGCCAAGACTTGCGCACCTTTCTGGAGGTCCCTCCCCTCGCGGAAGAAATCCATGCGGCTCTTGAAGACGGCATCCAGCATGAAGCAGTTCTGCTTCACCGAGCAGCCGGAAGACCCACTCAGGACAGAGGCTCGGTCCTCCTCGATAAGGCTGTACCCCAGCCTCTCGGCATCACCGAAGGCTGTGTCGCTGGGAGCTGTGCCGCGAAGGTTCAGGCAGGGATGATCCGAGATGCCACCGCCCAAGCGATGGCTCTTCTTGGTCTCAACAACCAGGCGTTCCAGCCAACGCAGGCACTCTTTGTACATGCCGATCTCTTCCCGCAAAGCCTGCTTCGACTCTGCTTTGGCAAGCTGCTGCAGGAGCTGCTCACACCTGTCTTGCAGAACTGCCTTCTCCTGCTGCAGCCCAGACTTGCTTGCCACGTCTTCCGATGAAATCGGGAAGCAGCGTGCCTCCTTGTAGCTGCATCTCTCCCCTTGCAGCTGTGGTTGCACCTGCTTTGCAGTGTCATCGTTTGCCAAACACTCCTTGGTAGGCTCAACCTCGGCAGCCTCCAAGCGATTCGCAAGATCCTGGCAACGCTCCTGGCACTTGCTTTGCTCCTCCTGCAACTGCCGGAGCTGCTGCCGCATCGCTGTCTCGATGTTCTGCACCACCACGAGCCGCCCTGCAAGCTTCCAGCAGCGATTTTGAGCAAAACTCTGCAAGTACTCAGCCGCCCACTGCTCCCGCTCTGCTTCTGAAGCCGGCTCTCCTCGCAGCAGCCCCGCCTCGGAGAAGCGCCATTCGTACTTGTACTTCCCAAACTCGGCCGCCCCGTGCTGGACCAGCGCCTCGCTGAGTTCCTGCGTCGTCGCCTTGCCCAAAGGCGCCCAGACCAGCTCCGACACGTAGAGCTCCAGGAAGCGCCCGAGCCAGGCCTCGGCCTCCTCCGGCTGCGAGGCCCAGAGCTCCAAGAGCCGCCGGCTCAGCGCCTCACGAGCTCGCTCCGGTTGATATCCATATCATAACCAGCTAAGTGGACGCAGGCGGCGAGGACGGTCGTCAGGGGCCAGCTGCCGGGGACTTCCGTCAGAACTGAGAGAGGCGGCATGGCGACGCCGAGCGGGCTGGGCACGGCGAATTGAGCCTTCTGTGTTCCGCAGAGCCACTTTATAGGGAAAGACCATTCGCGCGCTTGGGTAGCCTTACTTCGGACTGCTGCATGACGATGATGCCTGCGAGCTTAGCCGGAAGGAGGGAGGTGATCGGCCCATCTCGGCAGGACAAACTGGATAAATGCCAGATTCAAGCCTGATGAACGTGAACACTTGCTCACGCATGCAGTCGTAGAAATATACATACATGTATGTGTGCGTGCGCGGGTGGCTATGCGCATGTGCTGCATGCGGTATACACAGTACAAACTGCACAATGTCTATACAGTGTAAACGCATGTTGCGAAGTGTTGTGTGCTGTACAGTGTCTGCACGCATGTACGCATGCACACCTATGTGTGCGAAGCTATTCACGCATGCATGCCATGCATGTGCATGCATCGTGATGGTGCTGAAGTTGCATTTAAAAAGCGCTGGAAAGGATGATGAGCAAACAAACGTGTACGTTTACACATACAAATATGTACATGCACACCGAAAGAAATGGAAACATCTGCATAAACCGACAATTCGGTGTCTATCTAGATGTGTACAGCAAGTTGAATACCTAAACCGATAGGTATGTACACATGTACACAGAGGTGACCCTAAACCCCTTATTAAACCCCTTAACCCTAAAACCTACCTAACCGGAAAAAACCCTAATCTAAACCCTAGACTCTAAACCCATAAACCCTAAACCCCCTTAAACCTAAAACCTAAAACGCATAAACCCTAAACCCCCTAAAACCTAAAACCTCAAAAAAGGGGTACAGTATGTACCGACGGGTACCTTCAGTTGCGCGCATCCTGGGGCCCTGGCCTGGCCCACGAAGACGCCTCTCTGCTTCGTCTTCCTCCTGGTTTAAGGTTTTAGGGATTTAGGGTTTTAGGGATTTAGGGTTTTAGGGCTTTAGGGTTTTAGGGTTTTAGGGTTTTAGGGATTTAGGGATTTAGGGTTTTAGGGCTTTAGGGTTTTAGGGCTTTAGGGTTTTAGGGTTTTAGGGTTTTAGGGATTTAGGGTTTTAGGGCTTTAGGGTTTTAGGGTTTTAGGGTTTTAGGGTTTTAGGGCTTTAGGGTTTTAGGGTTTTAGGGTTTTAGGGATGTAGGGTTTTGGGGATTTAGGGTTTTAGGGCTTTAGGGTTTTAGGGCTTTAGGGTTTTAGGGTTTTAGGGTTTTAGAGATTTAGGGTTTTAGGGCTTTAGGGTTTTAGGGTTTTAGGGTTTTAGGGATTTTGGGTTTTAGGGTTTTAGGGCTTTTGGGTTTAAGGGTGTTGGGGCTTTAGGGTTTTAGGGTTCTAGGGTTTAGGGTTTAGGGTCCGGAAGGTCGGAGCTCGGAGACAGATGCACAGCACCCAGACGCCCCGGAAAGGATCTAGAATGTAGATCCCGGAATGGGGGGGGTTCCTATAAAGACCCTTAGGGGATCTGCTTTTTAGATCCTCCCGGGGGTCTGGGTAGTAGTCATGATAACAATGATAGCGTTAATAGCAGTAGTAGAAGGAATAACAAGAAAGTAGTATAGGTTTCTACTAGCAATAGGAAGAGTAAGAGTAAGCGTAATTGTAAGAATATGAGTAACAGTAGTCGCAATAGTGTTTGAATTCCTTGATAACTCAACAAACAATAATAGCAATAGTAATACTCATCAAAATATATTACAGCCCTTTGTGTTTAAACCTGGCTCCCTGTCATACATGTCCCAGAACCTTACGCGCAAGAGGAAGACGGAAGCAGGCGGGCAAACCTACATCCCCAAACCCTAAGTCATCATAGGAAAGCCACGAGTACGTAGAATGAACCCACGAGCAAAGCAAGGACCCCTCTTCGCAGTCAGGGCTCTGTCCCTTCGAGAGCACGAGGTGGCCGGCAGCCAGCCTCTCAGCGAAATCCGCACCGACAACTTCCGCGTTGTGGCGCAGATCGAGACCCTGTTGAATCTGGGGCTTCTGGCGTTTCCGGACATATCAGGGCTCAGGCTTCAGAGGAGGGTGTTGCATTCTCTGGCACTGGGCGATTGCTCGAGACACCACTGGCGCACGAACCCAGACCTGTACGTCTTCAACACGAAGCCTCAACAGACACATGCCGGAACACTTTCAACATGCAACGCAAGCTGACAAGCTGGTATTGTTAATCGCGTATGCCGTCGTCGAATGCCACGACCCTACTCAGACATGATACACCGCAAAGTCGCAACCTGCTCAACACAGTTCTGGACGCACTCGCAGTGTGGCCGGAAGCATGAGGGGCGGCAAGAGGCACAACACTTTCCATCCAGATGCGAATATTGTTGGTCCAGGCTGAAGGGCTCTTGACGCAGGCATTGTTCTCCAGAGCTCTATATAAGGGCTGAGATTCTATTCCGGAGTTGTGGCCGAGACAGGGGAATCTACATGGCTTGGAAATTGTGCTCAAGCTTGCACAATATTTCTGCGAGGACTTGCTGTTCGATATGGCTTGAAAAAACAGCGGTGCGCACAGGTCCATGTAGAGCTCGGGTGAGTCTGGGTTGTTGCTCAGGACTCAGGAACTTATAAGGACACCATACTGCATGCTCAAGGGGTGTGTCAAATGAAATATGCGCCTAGAATTCTAACTCCTCCCTCAAGCTTCTCGCTAGAGTGCGTGACCTCCTCTGCATGAGCCTTAGCCTTGACTGGGATGCCTGGGGACTGGATACTGAATGACGGTGGATCCCAAACATTCAACAAGTCGCAGCAAACACTTTTCAAAACGATGGCAGGCAAGTCGGCGTGTTGAAGCTAGCTCTTGATCCTGCGGCCTGGGTCCTTCGTCCTTGTAACCCTCCTGCATCTCCACGCAGGACTCGGAAAGAAAGAAGCATACTGAAATGTACCGAACTCCTACACTCTCAGCCCGAACTCTTAGACCTGTTTGGGTCGTATCCTTGACTGAACCTTACATACACATCCCTCACTTACCACCGACAACCTATACTCCAGCATCCTAAGTCCTGTCCTAAGCCTTTTGAGGCTTCACCGACTGCCAGAAGATGTCGCTGGGCACCAGGAACGGCACGTCCACCGTTGCCTCGGATGCGGTGGCAGGCAACGGCCGACTCTTCAACAACTTCTGATCAACCTGAAATATGACAGGCTTTCGAACGAAAAGCTTTGCATGGGGACGCATGCCTTTTTGCTCTCGATCCTTCGCCGCCAACCGTCAAGTTCACCGAGACAGCAGGTCTTGCCAGACAGAATGCTTTTACGCGGCAGATTCCCGCAGTCAATGTAACATAGAGGGTTTCAGGGCATAGGACACTTTAACAACTATACTAAGGAACCGCCCAAACTGGTATAGGTGTTATTTATTTAGGCCCCACATTATCTGTGCTCCCTCCACGACACCCTAACCCAGGCTGGCCTCCCTCAACCGAAAGTCGGAGCTACACCCTGCCGTCTTCTGCGCAGGGAGCACAAAATCGCGAGAGCAGCTCTTTTCTGCGAAGGTGAGAAGTGCGAAGCGGTGCAGGCACTGCGAAGCTTTTTTCAACGGGATTTCCGACAGGTACTGAATGAATACCGGTGGCATGATGGAGATTTGCTCTCTGTTGCTGATCTACCTGCCCATTGTGATGTGTAGCCTTAGATCGCGTGCGCTGCACTCCGACGTGCTTGGGCAACGACATGCTCAAGCAGCTGCACAGGCACTGGCCAGAAAGCCGTGCGCTCAGCTGCTTGACGAAGCTGCGGAAGTCTGCGAATTCGTGGGCTCTCAGCACGGCTTCAGTACATCGAGCCGCACTGGTTTAGAGACTCAGTCCATGTACTCCCCGGCCGCAGTGTCCGGAATCGAAGCGCCGCCATCCATGGGATCGATCGAGTCCTTGCCTCTCCCACCCATGCCACTGCGGCGCACCTGCGATTTCTTCTTGTGCCCCTTGCTGAGAATGCAGGATGGGCTGGAAAACACGGCTACAGGCAAGTCCGGCTTGAAGACGATCTTCAAAACCTTGCACTCCATGGCCTGCGCCTCTGCACGGGTGAGCGCCACCGGCTCCCCCGAGTCGAGCATCACGAAGTCGCCCGGCTTCAGCTTCCCCGCAGGCATGTAGACGTGGCGGCCCGGCTCGCCACGTTCATCGGGAATCTGCACGGGATGGTCCGGGGTCACCCGCAGGGTTGCAGCGCCAGCCTGCAAGTCGACCACTTCTGTAGCCTGCCCTTCCTTCGAGATCTCGACCACCTCCAAGACGGTCTTGCCATCGCCAGCCAGAACCTGCGACCCCTTCTGGAGGTCACTGCCCTCACGAAAGACGTCCATGCGGGTCTTGAAGATGGCATCCAGCATGAAGCAGTTCTGCTTCACCGAGCAACTGGAGGATCCACTTGGGACGGAGGCGTGGTCTTCATCCACGAGGCTGTACCCCAGCTGCTCGGCAAGATCCGACTCTTGATGACTGAAGCCTGTGTCGCCCGCATTTGCACCGTGATGTTTCGGGGTGCGATGTCCCGAGATGCCACCATCCAAGCGATGGTTCCTCTTGGCCTGATGAAGCTGGCATTCCAGCCAACGCAGGCGCTCCTTGTACATGCCGATCTCTTCGCGCAGATCCTGCATGAGATCCAGCTTCGTCTCTGCTTTGGCGAGCTGCTGTCTGAGCTGCTCACAGCGGTCGTGCAGAACTGCCTTCTCCAGCTGCAGCTCAGCCTTGCTTCCCACCTCTTCTGAGGAAATCGGGAAGTAGCGTGCCTCCTTGTAACTGCGGCTCTCCTCTTGCAGCTGCTGTGGTTGCACCTGCTTTGCATCGACAACGGATTCGGCCTCAGCCAGATGCTCCCTCGTCCTTGCATGCTTAACTGCTCCTGCCTCTGCCACTTCCAATCGACTGGCAAGATCTGCGCAGCACTTGCAATGCGTGTCCTGCCCTTGCCGCATCTCAATTCGCATCTCCGCCAGGGCCTCCAACTGCTTTTCAGTGACATCGTGCGGCAAACGCTCCTGGGCCTTAGCATGCTCAACTTCAACCTCTGCCGCCTCCAAACGAGCCGAAAGATCCTCGCAGCGCTCGTGCAACTGTCGGAGTTCCGTTCGCATCTCCGCTGCCGCCCCATCCGCAGCTGCCGCACGAGTTGCGAGCTCTTCGCATTGCTCTTTGAGACCTGCGCTCTCGTTCTGCGCGGCTTGGAGCTCCGCCTCCTTGCTGCTCACCTCCGCCTCCGCCGCGGCCAGGCGATTGCGAAGATCTCGACACTCCTCCTCCTGCGACTTCTGGAGCTCCGCTTCGAGGCGCAGGCTCTGGGAGGTCTCCTCCTCGAGCTTCTGGCGCTTCCGCGCCGTCTCCGGGCTCTCCGCCTCCACGAGCCGCTCCGCGAGCTCCCGGCAGCGATCGCGCATGTCGGGCCACTGCAGGTACGAAGCCGCTATCCGCTCCCGCTCCGCTGCTGCTGAGCGGAGCGGGCCTCGAAGGAGCCCTGCCTCGGAGAAGTGCCAGCCGTACCCCCACTTGTACTTCCCCCACTCGGCCGCCCCGTGCCGGAGCAGCGCCTCGCAGAGGCGCCCCTGCCTCGTCGCCGTGTTCAGCTCCCCGAAGGGCTCGAGCCAGGCCTGGGCCTCCTCCGGCTGCGCGGCCCAGAGCTCCACCAGGCGCAGGCTCAGCGCCTCAAGAGCTCGATCCGAAGGAGCATAGGCAAGAAAAGCAGCCAAGTAGGCGAAGGCGTCGATGACGGTCGCCAGGGGCCAGCCGGCAGGGACTTCGGTCAACTGATGGAGAAGCTTTGCTTTGGACTGCTGGGGCATGGCGGCGCTTGGCAGATGGGCACAGCAGTGCTGAGGGGTTGGGTGCGTCTCTCACTGAGATTTGGATTCTTGAGCCACTACACAGAAAGATAACCGTGCGCTCGCAGAGGTGTGTGTGTGGAAGGGCCCTCACTTCTGACTGCGGCATGACGCTGACGCGTGCAAGATTCAGTTTCACGAGCTGCTTAAACATCAGCGCTTTCTGACGCATGCAGTCGTATAGACACATCTGCAAGTGAGTGTGCATACGTGTGGGTATGTACATGCACATACTGCACACATACGAGTAGGAACTATAGATAAACGCGTCTATACAGTGTAGATGCATATTGCATGTCCTCATGCGCCTGTACGTTCAGATGCATGCACGCAACATGCAGGTAAGATTTCATGCATGTATGTACTGCATGTCTGTATGTATTGCATGTATGTATGTCTTTAGGTAGGTAGGTAGGTAGGTAGGTAGGTATGATTTGGTATGTCTTTGTGCATGTGTGCGCGCGTGTGGGCGTGTCTGCATGGATGGATGGATGGATGGATGGATGGCTGGATGGATGGGTGGATGGATGGAAGGATGGCGGGATGGAAGGATGGAAGAATGGATGAATGGATGGAAGGATGGAAGGATGGAACGATGGAAGGAAGGATGGAAGGATGGAAGGAAGGATGGATGGATATGGGATGGATGGATGAACTAGCGGATGGATGGATGGATGGATGGATGGATGGATGGATGGATGGCTGGATGGCTGGATGGCTGGATGGCTGGATGGCTGGATGGCTGGATGGCTGGATGGCTGGATGGCTGGATGGCTGGATGGCTGGCTGGCTGGCTGGCTGGCTGGCTGGGTGGGTGGGTGGGTGGATGGGTGGATGGATGGATGGATGGATGGATGGATGGACAGATGCATGTAAGGATGCATGTATACGCTGTATGCATGTACGCATGTCTGCATGCATGTATATGATGGCTGTATGTATGCGTGCGTGTGTCTGTACTCATGTATGTAATCGCGTGGTGTATGTGATCCTGTATGTGTGTGTGTGTATGTACCTGTATATGTATGCATGTATCTATACATATGTGTATGTAAATTTGTAAATGCATATGAATACGTATGTGCATGTGTGCAGTGCATGCACGCACGCATGCATACATATACACAGATGCAGATGTGCGTAGTAGGACTGCATTCACACACGCGCCTACGGAGTCGTACATGCACTGCAAAAGCCGGGACTATGCTGACTATGCACATGGCTGCATCGCTGTGACTTGTACTTTGCATCCCTGCGTTGCACGCATTCTGGGGGCCTCGCATTGCCCACGAAGACGCCGCCCTGGTTCGTCTTCCTCAGGGAGATCGGAGCCCAGAAATGCCCCGTTATGTTTAAGCTGCATGAATAAGCATGTTGGCAAAGGTACATCCATAAGCCCTATCAAGCTGCAAGCCAAAAACAAATTTCCCCCCTCTTCGCAGGCGGGGCTCTGTCCCTTCGAGCGCACGAGGTGGCCAGCAGCCTGTCAGCGAAACCCTCTCCGACAACTTCCACTTCGTGAATGAGCTCCCGGTCTGGATCTCGCCACCAGAAGCTGATGATAGTTGCACCAAAACACACGTTGCGTCGAGAACAGCTTACATGGATGCAGAGCCCGAAGACACTTCCTGCAGAACACCCTTAAGGACCAAATGACCCTAAAAGAGGGGGCCCCATACAATTGTACTATGAACCCCTTATAAGGTATACCCTAAACCCTTTTAGGGTTCTTGTCGTCCTTAAGGACAACAACCCCACAAACTAGACGTGCAACCGTCACAGGCGGGCCTGCAACCACGACTCGATGTTTCAGTTTCCCACACGCAGCATTCGAACACTCCATGAATCAAGCTTGGACATGCGGGAATTCCAGAAACTATGGGACCCAATATTGGTCTTCATGTTATAAGGACCCATAACTATATCATGCGGGACCCTAAAACTTAGGACATCTGGGTGTCAGGGCTTGGCTTTGAGCGGTTGGCAGAAGTTAAGAGCACGTCCCGAAACTTTAAAGTACCTAAACCTCCCAAAGTAGGCATAATTATGGCCCAATACCCATAAAGGCTATTATTCTACATACTTTTGGGGTCCAGGTATAAGCCTAAGCTAACACCCGTGCTTTAGACAACCCAACCTTCCAAGCTTGAAGTCGGCCACTCCAAAACCAGTCTCATCATAAACTGAGGAAGGTTGCTGATCATGGGACCACAAGGAGGTGGCTTGCTGAAACCCCTTCCCACGCCTCGTTGCAAAGCACCCGGTCACCATCAGCCACGAAGGTTCCGAAGATGCCCAGCTCTGCCACCTCAGGGAGGACTGAGGCTGCTCTGTAATTTAAGGTGGCCTTGAGAATTAGCTAGAAGCGGGTTCTGTTGCTCGGTTGATGTGGTGGTGTGTCTCGCGCATGCCCCTGCAAACGTTGCTGTGGTTTCCCTCTCGGGCGCTCTTTTCTGAAGTCTGTCTTCGTCTTTGCTGGCCCAGGAGGATGGTCCCCGCACCCGACGCTTTTTATGGCTTGCGGAACTTCTTGCTTCCTTAAGGACGACAAGAACCCTAAAAGGGTCTAGGGTTCATATACATATATATATATATACAGATATACCTTATAGGAATTCATGGTATAATTGTAACATCATGGGGCCCCCTCTTTTAAGGGTCATTTGGTCCTTAAGGTTGCGGGCAAGGACACTGCATCGCGCACAACAGCGCTGCCGGCAGCATCCAAGACGGCGGAGGGCGTTGTTGGCGGCCTCCAGTCGGCTTCGGGGCCGGGGGCTCAAGGGGCCCCAAAAAAAACCGAAACACCCTAAAGTTAAAGGCCCCCTAAAGCCTAAACCGTAAACTCTAAACACCCTGAAGTTAAAGCTCCCCACACCTGGACCCCAAAAGTATGTAGAGTAATGGCCTTTTATGGGTATTGGGCCATTATGGTACCTACTTTGGGGGTTTATGTAAAGCCTAAACCCGACAGCGGCTTACGGGTTTAAGGGCGGGCTTGGTGGTTACGAGGGGTCCGGCTTGCGGCTTTAAGGATTGGGGCTTAGGGTTCAGGAACTTAGGATCCCTAAGGGTTTGTATTTTCTTCCTTTTTAAGCAGGATACGCCCTTTCTCCTTGCAGGGCTGGCCCAGTAGACTAGGACTAGGGTAGCTAAACCCCTTCATAGAGCCCCTTATAAGTAGATCCCTTTAAGGAACCCTTATAGATCCCTGTAAGACACCCTTATAGATCCCTTTAAGGAACCCTGATAGATCCTTTTAAAGAAACCCTTATGGATTCCTATTAAAGGGGTTAAGGGGGCCTCGGATTCGAGGGCTTCGATTGCAGGATGGCTCGGCTCCGCAAGGCACCGAAACCGAGCTCTTCAACAGCCATGGCCAAAACCTTAAGGAGGAAAAGAGCCCTAAAAGGGTTCAGTTAGGGTTCATATACCTTATACAGGGGCTCATAGTCATAATTGTATGGGGAAGGGTTAGGGTTCATATACCTTATATAGGGATTCATAGTACACTTGTAACATTGAAAAGTTAGGGTTCGTATACCTGATAGGGATCCATAGTATACTTGTAGGGGGCCCCCTCTTTTAAGGGTCATTTGGTCCTTCAGGAAAAAGTCAACACCTGCAAAGCCGCATCGTGCTCAAGCCGTCAACACTGCCCGCCAGAAAGAGAGTTCCGGGTCTTCTCTACCAGCCACCGATGAAACAGCCACGACGTTGCAATAACATTCCTCTGGAATTCAAAACAACATGGAGCGCTGCTAGTCGAAGTCCTTCAGCCTCACTCAAATCCTAAGCGGAACCCACCCACCCCTGCCCACAAATCAACCCTCGGCTGCTTCGTCGTCTGGCCTCACACGCTCCATGAGGATGAACTCGGCCAGCTCGTCTTTGCTGCGAGAGTTCAAGATGCCTGCATTCGGTCTGCTTTGGTATCGCGGGGACATGAGAAGTCTTTCATAGCGGTTCGAACTAAGCATCCTCATTGGAATGTATCCTACATACTGTCCTACCTATCTGATACTAGCTTAGTGCACTGAAGAGTCGCAGTTTGTGGCCCGAAACGCCATGCGCCAGGCATACATTTACACCCGGGAGGCTTGCATTTAGATGTGAAGACTGTGATCACGGTGTAGCACCAAACCCGGATGCAACAAGGCAACGAAACCGCCGCGCGCATAAGAAGGCCTGAACCCGAGACCCTATGGGTATTGGTACATTATTGTACCTACTTTGGGGGGTCTAGCGAGTCTAGCTAATCATAACCATAAAGCTGAAGACCTGCAGTCCCAAAGCCCCAAAGCCCGAAGCGACCTGAAACCTATCTTAACCTCCCAAAGTGGGTAAAATAATGGCCCAATACCCATAAAAGGCGATTATTCTACATGCTTTTGGGGTCCAGATAGCTGAAGCCATGCAGTCCCAAAGCCCTAAAGCCCGAAGCGACCTGACAACCTAAAGCCCAGCAACATCGCGGCTTTTGTGCCGCAAAGCTGCGAGGGATGTCCTCGTCAAAGAAAAGCTCGCCGGAGCCTTCGACCTTGGGCTGAAGGGAGGGTTTAGGGGTTGAGGGTTTAGGGGTTGAGGGGTTTAGGGGTTTCGGGTTTAGGGTTTAGGGGTTTAGGGTTTAGGGGGGTCGAGGGTTATAGGCTCTAGCGTTGAGTTTAGAGTTTAGGGTTTGGTGGTTATAGTAATAAAGTGAATGCCAGAACGATGGCACGTACTTATCATCCTTAAACCATGTTCCAACTTTCGGGACTTCACCATGAACCCCACACCCTGAACCTGAACCATATACTCGAAACCCCAACAGACCCTAAGCCCTGCAGAAGCCGGGTTTGGGGTTTAGTGTTTCGGCAGGGCTCGGCCGAGCCCAGGTGATTACCTCAACTAGGGCTTGCTTCGGGCCACCTTTTTTGCAAGGCATTATAAGGATGCCGCACTCTGATCGGGGTCGAACA